GTAGGCTAAATCGAAAGTAATGTCAATGTTATCGTTTCCGCGTTGTCCAAAATATATAGGAAAATATTTAACATCCGAAATAGAAATCTCACTTTCGCAAATTAATTTATCCGAAGACGACAAGAACAATGCGAAATTCTAAAGTAGATTTTCGAAAATAGCGTTCGTAATAGTCACTTTTCTACGCGTTCCAATTTATCGAGTTAATCGGCACAGCTTCTAATTGCCAGGACCAGTTCATCCGAACGTTAGTCCGTCGCACATTCGTTACAACGATGACCGATCGGATAATGCGATTTATAAAACGCTCAATGACGATTTTATTTCACGAAGCGAATATAAAATTAGCATAAAATTCAGAGATGGTTAAAGTGACGAGCTTCTTTTGACGATGCGCTTTTAGCGACTGATCGTTCTTCCTCTTCTTTTCTTTTTTTCTTCGCGTCATCCGTATAAATGACTGCGTCATCTTACTGGCATTGCCATTTCTTCGAAGACGATCAATTAGATCGAGGTCGATCGAGCGATAGACATCGAACCGTTGCATCCGGTTGCAAACGGGAGCACGAGGAAAACCGTGGCAGCAGGAAGCTTAGAAACGTCAACGAGCGAGCAAGTAGATGCGACTGCACCGTGTCTGAATCATTTATCGGACAATAGTGGTATAACGCGATGATTATGCAGACGCGTCGCTGCATCCAATTCGTACTCCTTGCAGGTTGGAATTATACCAAGATGATATCGCGCGAAGTTGAAATTCTAACGTAAACCACGTCTCTGTGAGACGAGCGAAGACGCGAGACTCTGTCACGTGTTTGCCAATGTTTGCCGGGACGGTGTGTACGACTTTATTACGTCTGAATTTCCTAGCAAACGACGAGACTCGTTTATACTTTCTGGTGTATTTTTGTTAACTTACGTATACGAAGGAACGATTTTTATTCGCCAGTCGACGACAAAATTCACGACGCAACAAAGAGCAAAATATCAGGAAACAAATTGTTTAGGCCGCTGTCGAGGTAAACGTGAAAGCCACGATTTATCGACTGATAATATCGGTACGTTGACAAGTTATAAATCGTGAAATTATAGACTCCCTTTTTACGATTCCATGATTTTTTCACAGACAAGACGGTCGGATAATCCGTGTAATTTCTAACATTCGCTCGTCCAGTTGCACTAGCTCTGCTCGCGCGAACTTGTCGCTATTCTCCTTATCCCAACGTACGATCTGTATTCGAACGAATGTCAGTGACGCCAGGAAGATTCCACGAACGTTGCGGTCTTTGTAAAAGTTATCCTGGAACCTGCCGTGCCGATTACGCACAACGATATTATACGCAAAGATATATAACCTTCGCCTAAATAAAAGAAAAACCTGATAAGGAAGAGGAAGAAACGAAATTTTTAGCCGAGAAACAGAGGAATCTCGGTTGCGTCGGAGAAATTTTGCATCGTTGGAAAATTGAACGGAAGGAAGGAAATTTTGTCGCAAAAAAAACCAGGTCGAGAAGAAATTGCGAGTAAAGAAAAAGGCGCGAAATAGAGTTGCGAGAGGATCGAAGAAAACAGAGCGCTCGTGGTGAAAGGTTCGAAAGGAGGAAAGTGACCATCGACGATGTTAGATTCGAGCGAGAGAAGAAATGGACGCCAGGGGCAGGTAGATAAGCGTTCGTTGAAGGGACAGGCTATATAGTACATAGGGTAGGATAGAGTATAGGTAAAAAGGTACAAGGGAACGTTTGTTCAATTTCTACGGGCAAACGAGAGAGGGATAAAAGCGGTGGAGAATTGCGAAATGCTTGGCCCGCATTCGCAGTAGTTCCAGTCGTCCATTGTCCGCGTGCACAATGGGAATCTTTCTAGCGACGCTTGTTGCTCGGATGCTAGCTGACTAAACTTTGCCCGCCGACCACGTGCGTCCTGCACACCCCGCAATTTCGCGCACAAACAGACACGTATACAAGACGTGTATAACGTTGCAGAGGGAAGAAGGAGGCAGAAATACGTAGAGACAGACGCGTTGGTCGTGTGTTAGTCGGTATCCGTGCAAGCACACTGTGATTCGCCTGGGGATAGGTCAATCAATGACCTATTTAAAACGCCTTCGGTCTGACCTCGCGCACTCTATCTCCTGCCGCTATGGTACGCCGAACCGAGACTCGCAGTTTATGTACGAGTTTAACTTTCCTCATATTCTCGCTTCGATCTCTGTGCCTTCTTTTTTTCCTTGCGAGAACGACGCGTGCTAATGTAGAGAATACCGAAGACTAGTCGACTTCGAAATTAGAAGAGAACTTTATGCGTTGGCTATGTAGGAATTTACCTAGGAATATTTGGTTATAGTTGTTGAATTCATGAAATGCTACAATTATTAAAGGCTGCCTATACTCCGTTTGGAATAAATCCATTTTCTACGATCTTCTCGCGGTCAGCATTTGCCTTCCCCGCCACGTTGCTCTTCTTTTCCTATTAATTAGGATTAGTTGGTTAGATGCAAAACGTATCATATCGCGTATTGCCTGTGTATACAGGGTGGTTGGTAACTGGTGATACAAGCGGAAAGGGGGTGATTCTACGCGAAAAAAAGTCGAAAATATGAAATAAAAATTTTTTTTTAATTTTTCCATCGAGACAACGATCTACAGCGAGATCCGTTATAACGTACGCGTACCGAGCGAAAATTCAAAGTCGATTCTCTCGAAAACAAAGCCTCGAACGGAAAATTTTTATTCTATATTTTCGACTTCTTTTTTCGCGTAGAATCACCCCCTTTCCGCTTGTATCACCAGTTCGCGTTGGTCGTGTGTTAGTCGGTATCCGTGCAAGCACACTGTGATTCGCCTGGGGATAGGTCAATCAATGACCTATTTAAAACGCCTTCGGTCTGACCTCGCGCACTCTATCTCCTGCCGCTATGGTACGCCGAACCGAGACTCGCAGTTTATGTACGAGTTTAACTTTCCTCATATTCTCGCTTCGATCTCTGTGCCTTCTTTTTTTCCTTGCGAGAACGACGCGTGCTAATGTAGAGAATACCGAAGACTAGTCGACTTCGAAATTAGAAGAGAACTTTATGCGTTGGCTATGTAGGAATTTACCTAGGAATATTTGGTTATAGTTGTTGAATTCATGAAATGCTACAATTATTAAAGGCTGCCTATACTCCGTTTGGAATAAATCCATTTTCTACGATCTTCTCGCGGTCAGCATTTGCCTTCCCCGCCACGTTGCTCTTCTTTTCCTATTAATTAGGATTAGTTGGTTAGATGCAAAACGTATCATATCGCGTATTGCCTGTGTATACAGGGTGGTTGGTAACTGGTGATACAAGCGGAAAGGGGGTGATTCTACGCGAAAAAAAGTCGAAAATATGAAATAAAAATTTTTTTTTAATTTTTCCATCGAGACAACGATCTACAGCGAGATCCGTTATAACGTACGCGTACCGAGCGAAAATTCAAAGTCGATTCTCTCGAAAACAAAGCCTCGAACGGAAAATTTTTATTCTATATTTTCGACTTCTTTTTTCGCGTAGAATCACACCCTGTCTGCCTGTACCACCAGTTACCAACCATCCTGTATATATATATGTTGATATAATCGTATTGAAATCGTCTCGTACGATGCAACGACTAATTATAAGACGAAACAGCAGATTTGAATTTGTATCGTACATTTAAAATTTGAAATGCTGTCGAATTTTGCCTAGCCAACGCTGTCGTATCGGATAATTTCTATTCTTGGTCGAACGTCATCCGGATGTGTTAAAAAGATGTGCGATCACCTTGTTTGATCTGCGCGTTTGGATCACCCGTCGATATAACTGCGAAAAAGCCGATGCATTTGGGAAGATCGTACAGGAAACTGACAAAACACAGACGATATTTCATTGAGAAACCACGGCACATATAGAAACATCAGTATCGACGAATGAACGAAACCTTCACGATGAATATATGTTCGAAGTTAATGCTTTGTGTGGCTTTTCGATTTTCTTTTATCTCGAAGCTTAACAGGACTAGCGTGCTATTACGTGTATAGAATAAATCCTACTATAGCGATAATAAAATTGGTACAATAATATAGTGGCTCGTTTCGCCTCGCTTTTTAACGAGTTATTAATTACGATCGAATACGAAGCCGATGTATCCGCGAGATACGAACCATGGGAAAATAGGAGAAAAATTCATTAGATCGAAAAATCTAAGAATAGAACGTACACTGCTTTTTAATCGGCGGAAAATATACGAAGTAGTAGAAAAAGCCGAGCTGATACTCTTTGGAAATTCTCACCGTAGAATTTCGTAGAACATGAAACGATTAAATAAATTCAATACCGTGTTTTACGTCGAAGAAATAGATCGTAAGATTAGTATCAATTAAAATCCCTGAGGTTCTCGTTCTTTCATCACCCTCGGACGACGTAAACGAATAAAATTGAAATAATTTTCCACGCCTGGTTACATCTCATTTCACATCGATGGAATTGTGCGAAGGAGTCCGGTGATAAATATCCACTGAAATTATATGGCGGGACCCGACAGAACGCTGAAAGAACGATACAGCAAAACGTGTATGTAAGAATTGAAAATAAAAAGAGAAGCCCGATTCGATCGCTAACCAGCTAACGTTGTAACCGATAAATCTAAACGACACGCAGGAACCCTCGAAATGCTGCAAGTCCGTAATAAAGATGTTTTACGAGCGTGATGGAAAAAAGATGGAGACGTGCTCGTGATATTCGTTGGGAAAGAATTCTTCGGTTGGGCGGCGTGGCTTCGCTTAGAGGATAAAATAAATCCCAAACGAAGCTCTAGCTACGTTCTCGGATGTTACACGGTAGCACGGATAGCGTGCAACGAAACTTACTTATTTCGTCTCGCGGGCTGGAATAATCTTGGACAAAGCGGTTTTCTCACAGGCAAAAGCGGAATAAAAATAACGATATCACCGTTCGGTAAACGACAGACAGTGGTCGTTACGATCCAAAAGGATATGGATTAGTGATGAGCGCCAGACACCAGTTGCGCGGTCGTGTATTCTGGTCGAGGTATCGCATTGCAACCGGCACGAAACCAGGATAGGGTAGCTCGTCGCCATCCACGTCTACCCCGTCGTCTTCTTCGTTCTCGTCTTCCTCTTCGTCGTCTTGATCGTCGTCGTCGTCGTCGTCCTCGTCGTCCTCGTCGTCCTCGTCGTCCTCGTCGTCGTCCTCCTCCTCCTCTTCCTCCTCCTCCTCCTCGTGTTGTCGGTGCGCGATACGTCTATTGGTCGACTGGCCACCCCCATCTTCGTCCTCGTCGTCCTCGAGATCACTGAGTTGGGCAACGTCACTGTCGGAACCTTGCTCGCCATTCCCTGCCCCGGCAGCTTTACTCGCCGGACGATACCGATATCCTTGAGGATAATGCAACGACATGCTGCTTCCCGGCTTCTAGATCTCGTCCAGCGGTCGACACGAGGATGACGAATCGTTCGGGACGAATCGTTTTCAGCGGCAGCCTGACACGAAGATCGTCTGCGCGGGATAATTCCAAATAGATTTGCTGGCAGATTTATCACCGGGAAGATATTGCCTGAGTTGCGCTGGCGACAACGTAGACGTCGCTGCTCTAAACGACGGGGCCAGGTGAACAGGTAAGAACGACATCGAGGACCCGATGTGTAGTTCGGTCGGTTCTTTCGGCTACCTGCGGTATACCGATACAACGAGCGATACGAAGAACGCGCTTCTCGTACGCTTTACCGGTAGTGACATGCACCGTGCTTTTCGTCACGAATGTCTCGAGATCGAAGAAGCTGCCTCACATCCACTGGCCGCATTTTACGTTGAAGTAGCGACAACGGTGAAATCCAGGTGCGTAACCGTGCGCCTCGCGATGCGCTTGCCCGGTTTCTCTCACCTGCAATTCTCTCTCACCTACGGTTGCCCTGTCGTACGGAGGTCGCAGCTCACCTGCTACCAAGCAAGGTGATCACTCGCGGTCAGTGTCGGCACAACGATTCTTCTTCGAACGATTAACGATCGAAGCTTTTGTTTTCGCGATGACGATGATCGAGAGAGGAACGACGTCGAAGGACGACCGAGGAACCGAGCGATAGAACCACCTGCCGTGTAAAACGTCTGTTTGTGCGTGTGTGTGCGCGCGCGCGTGTGTGTGTGCGTGCGTGTGTGTGTGTGAAACGAAGTCCCGAGGGAGACACTTTTTGGCAGCAAGATGGAAAGGCAAAGCGCGTGAGTGGCGCGTGGTACGTCGCGTGGCAGCCCCGTTAAAAACGATCCAGCTTCCCAACCCTTCTTTGGGAACGTAGCATTTAGCCTATTTCTGACTCGATAACTCGATCGCGCGCGACTAACGACCACGAATCGGCCTACCTGAAGAAATTATATCCCTATAAGAACCGCGACCCATATCAAACTGTTGGCGAACGTGCGCGTCGACGGTGCCCGGCGCAGCGTCGACCGGTGACTGAAAAAAACGTCGAACATCCTTGTCGACGGAACGAAACGCATGCGCGACCCTTCCGTCTAGGCGTCCCTCGCTCATCCGCTTCACGACCTTCTGCATCCTCCCTCGAGAAGATCAGCAGATCCTCCTACTCTCCTCCCTCTCTCTCTCTCTCTCTCTCTCTCTCTCTCTCTCTCTCTCTCTCTTCTTTTCTTTCCTCTCTCGTTGGTTCGTTCGCGGTGACCTCTCCGTGGTCGTAGATAATGTACTCGAACCGCGAAGAAGAAAGGAAGAGATAATCAGAAGCAGGCAAGGAGGCGCAGGCAAGCACAGAAAAAGAGAAGCTGATCTTATAGCTACTCGTCTCGAGATCTTGTCGCTTTGGTTTTCACTGCCGATAAAGTGCCACGCGTGCTCCTTTTTTTTTTTCTTTTCTTCTCCTTTTCGAACAACGCGTTTTATCTCGTAGCTGGTACATGTGACAGACTCGATACCAATTAATAGAAATTCGTTGCAGCCGTCGGAGATGACGATCGACGACAGAGAGCGTTGTTTATTATGAATCGTATTTTTTTACGTAGACAAGCAAATACTTGGACGTTGACGAGCCATTGTCGGTATACGATCTTTCAAGGCCTAACTTTAAAGAAGATGAACCGAAACGATCTTAACGACCGAGACGTGCACGTGCAGTGACTGTCCAGATTACAACCTTACCGCTATATTTAAATGTGATCAGTATATTTGTATATCTGTATGTATGTGTGCATTTTCTCTCTTTTTATACGATTATTTATTTGCAGAACGAATTATGTATGTAAAATATATATATATATTTTTTTACATACATATGTATATATATAGATAGATAGATATAGGGTTGTTAATAGTAAATATCTGATCCTTCTTATTTCAGCTTTCTTCCCGCTTTCTTCTCTTAGCGTGTCTACCAATCTCTCTCTTCCTCTAGTGGTTCATATACCGTGTCTATTTTCGGTTGGAATTCAACGCGAGATTTTGCGGTAGGCACCGTATTATGTATCGTTCCCAACAAAAGTTCGCCAGTAATCAAGAACCGATATATGAAAAATGATTATGGTTTAATTGTAAATATGATATATTTATCATTACCATATTAAATCGTTGGGTGTAGAAATTACAAATGAGTCGTACGCAATTATTTGTACACATTTATTTTATTCAAAGAAAAAACATTTATATGTACAAGCATATCCAACAAGTGTTATTCTTAATAATATAACAAATTCCATTGATGCTGCTGCAAATTATGATACAATACATACATGTAACTTGAGATTCGTTAAATTGTATTATTTTGCTATTTCTCTACTCTCACCATCAAAAACGATACAGTATCGGCTTTTTTAGTAAACTTAGTTACTAATTAGTAAGGATCTTATTTCTGTTCATCTAACAATGTTGCTAATTGTTCGGGACTCGTAACAGGCAACGAACACGTGCGATGTTTACATACATATACAGTTGTTCGATTATTCAGAGATTTCATATTTCTGAGATGTTGGTTTTTACGCAATAACACGCTGTTCGTTTCATCGGGATCAATTAAGAGAAGAATCCTGTTGGGTATCAAACGTTTATATATAACGCGAAGTAGCTCATCGGTATCCTTGGCACCTCGTTTTCCAACCACATAAATCTAAAACACGACATATACACGCAATCGTTTCAAAAGCTCATCAAGTTTTTGAAAATTGAATATGCTCGATGCATATAAGTTTGCACGCACTTGCGCTGCATCATCGTGGTAGCGTACGAGTGCTGATGTTAGTTGTGGAACCGCAACAGGTCTCTGCATCAGCAAATATCTGAATGCTCCGAACAGACGAGCAGCTTTATCCTTGAATTCGTCACAACCTAAGTAATCTGCCAACCTCAGCAAATTTTCAGCGGCAATCGAGTTACCGGATGGTTCCGCTCCGTCATAAACTATATGTGAAATTATAAATCTTCAAATACATATCTGATCTTTTTCTTCCATTCGTGTTACGACCTAATACTAAACGCAACTATCACAGTCTGATGAACTTAACGACTGGACGTAATGAAACGTTGAGCAGGCGCTGCTATAAATATTTGAATTACTTTCAGCTATGAGAATGCAGAATGTTGGTTTCTTTGATTTCATAGCTGAACGCAATCACAACCATCAGACGTATCATGTAAAACCATGAAAACTGTAATTGCTAAACTAAGATTATCTTGAAAATACTTAAATATACCTTCTTTAAGCCTGAGAATTATACTTGGATCGCTCGATGTTGTTAAGAAATATCCTCCATTTGTTTCATCCCAAAAATACTGATCTTGAAGATGTTGCAATTTCTCGGCAAATTCCAGCCACTCCTCGTTTAAATCAGATTCGTATAAATCCAACAACCCTTTTATAACAAACGCATAATCGTCTAAAAATCCAGGTATGGGTGTACTCCTAAAAATAATAAATATTAAAATGTACATTATGATACGCCGCGTAATTTAATAGCGATAATATACGTACATTTGTGTAATCGTGCCTTTTTCGTCACGGTAACAACTATGAAGTAATATATTCTTGGTTTCATCGAAAAGATATTCTTTAATAAATTTTGCGGCATCTGCCGCGTGCTCAATGTATTGTTTATTATTTACTGCCGCTCCCCCAAAAGCTAAACCACTTATCATAAGACCTAAATCCAGGTTGCTTATTAATTTAGCAGTTAAAAAAACATATATTAGCGTAAAGTATATGTAGAAAATATATTGTTTGTAACTCTTTACCATTCCATGATGTAATGATCTTGTCGTCTAAGTGAGGCCGCGGCCTTGCAGATCTAACTTTGTATAACATGGAACATGCTTCTTTCAAATACATTTTAGTTTCTTCAATTGGAAGATTGAAATATCTAGCAGTTTCTTCAATTTCATTGTATGCTATTAATACATTTTTTTGTCCCATCTCTCCATGTGGATCCTGATAAGTAACAGGTTATCGATTATGTATTTAGACATAGAATAGAAATTAATTATAGAAATAAGAAAAAGTATATAGCATACTTGATGCGATTTTACATTTCCTGATTCATTTACATTGAAATGGCGACAAAAAATATCCGAAAGTTTAACATGATTTTCATCAGAAACTTCTTTATTTAGAAGTGATTTAATTTCCATGGCAGACCACACATAAAAAGCACCTTCCTTTTTCGCATGTGTATCGTGCATAGGATAAGAATCTGCATCTTCAGCGCTATAAAACCCACCTTCCTAAAAAACATAAAATAGATAAATGTTAATGTACATATAATTCTGAAAACAGAGCAAATATAATACCTTGTGACGAAGATCTCTTATTACATATGTAGCGATATCATCAACAATTTCGGCAAAATAATTATCTTTAGTTACAAGATATGCATCTGCATATGATTTCATTAACTGACCCTGATCGTACAACATTTTTTCAAAGTGTGGAACGTGCCACTCACCGTCTGTAGCATATCTAGAAAAACCCTATTTAAAAATAGTAAACATTATTACAAATTATTTTGGAGCTAACATCGTGAATATTTTGTTTAATAGCTAATTAGGATTAAAATTCTTACCTGACCTACATGATCGTGAATGCCACCAAAAGACATTCTTTTTAAAGTGTAAACAGACATATACAAGCAAGGTCGTACAGACTCCACATTGGGTTGACGTGCATACATATGAAATAAAAAGTTAAAATTTACTGGCTGTGGAAATTTTGGTGATTGCATGTTATACGTAGAGCCAAACCCACCAAATTTCGGTTCAAATTCATTTACAAGTTGCTGAATACAAATTTTACTACATTCCAATGAAGGTATATCATGTACCTATGTAAAGAAATCATTATTCATTAATAATCACAATTCTTTTACGAAATAGCTTAAACAAGAGTACAACAATTTATTATTTATTAATTTACCTTAAGTGAATCTGGAATTTTAGAAATACTGTGTAAAGTTTCAAGATTGGTAGATCCAATCTCTGTAAGTTTACTTCTGGATTGATTCCACTAAAAAATATGAAATATAAAGAAACCGATATTGATATAACGTATTAATCTAACTATAATATGTAATGATTTATAATGTCTTAAATTCACTTGAATGGAATATGATTTGTTTATTAAACGCTATGTATTTATACTATATCAAATAATTCTTAAGAACTAAAGATATTTATACCTTTTGGGCAACACTGAGTAAAATTGTCTTAAATCCTGTTTGTCTAAATGTATCTTCTGGAGGAAAATAAGTCCCTCCAACTATAGGTTTTAAATCAGTGGTAAGAAAGACACTCATTGGCCATCCACCATGACCACTTGTTGCCTATGTGAAACGATAGCTTTTAATCTATATCATATTTGTTTAAAATACAATGTAATCACATTTACTTGCTTGTATAAAAGTCATGTATATCCTATCGATATCTGGTCTCTCTTCCTTGTCTACTTTTATATTAATGAAATTCTTATTCATTATTTCAGCAATTTCTTTATTTGTAAAAGATTCTTTTTCCATAACATGACACCAGTGACACGTAGAATAGCCAACAGATAAAAAGATACACTTGTTCTCTTTACTTGCTTTTTCCAATGCTTCGTCACACCATGGGTACCAATCAACTGGATTAGTAGCATGCTGTAGTAAATATGGTGACTTTTCTAAACTCAAACGATTCTTTTTTTGTATCGGCATATTTCCTGAATTATTGGTTGATGCCATATTTGCAAATAATGAAACTGTCAGTGATCTTTGGTTTATCCTATAAGATTTAAAATTAAAAAATTAATTATCAATATATTTGACTTTGGTGCATATATTTATAAAACATATAAAAATTGCAAATGGAAGATTTAAAATAAAAGAATAAGCAAGGACATGTAAATAATTGTGATATAAATTAATGAACAAAACACTACTTATTTTCATTGACATCGTTTTAATATACTTTTATTAAATGAAAGGTTACTATAAATATTACATGAATGTATGTTTGTGTGTTCTACCTGTTTAATCGCTGTATAGTTAGAGACATGAAACTACGTTGAGATAAATATGATCTTATTCCAAGATTCCGAATCCACCACTTTTTAGATAATAAAGACGTATAGTCAACTATTGACAAAAAACAATATCTTCCCAAAGTCATAACACTCCTTACATAAAATATGTACCTAACAAAAAGTAAAGTTCCGAAAATAAATATGAAAATAAATTCTGCAAATTTCTATATGTAGAATATATAATAAAATATTAAGCATTCATTTTGACATCATAAAATATAAATCCAATTAATTTCATTACTAATCTATCAACATTATTTGTTTAATTTAATTAAATTGCAGAAGATTTTTAACACGTAAACATATTGTGAACTTTTAGATTCTATTTTCAAATAATAGAAACTTTGCATCAATTTTTTCTTATACTCGTTACATTTATACATGAATAGCTATCATTTTCTTCAACAGAATTGGAATCTCACAAAATTTTAATTATTTCATTTATCATCAAAAATTATTTAATTTCAACTTAGGTAAGGTAACTAAGGTAACTAACATAATTAAGATTAGAAGCTACTTATTTAGTTTATACCATAAAAATATTTACACAAATTGTATTCAACATACATTAATTTGCATCCTTCCTTACTGTAAAGTCCACCATCGCAGTACATGTAAATACGAATAATGGCGAGTTACTACTAAAGTGCTATATATCTGGTACTTCATACTATACATAAAATGCATTTATAAACTGTACATATCCGAAAAGAAAGTATTATTATTATAATAAAATACATACTATTAACTACAAAATATATTTATTTCTTAGCTTAATATATATTAGCTCAAAATAGCTCAAAATATATTAATTTTGTAGCTTAAACATTTCATTCAAATAATAATAAAAAATATTGCAATATAAAATTATGAAATATGTACGAAATATTTTTTGCGATTATTATTATATACAGATACATTTACGGAAATAACAGATAATTTTTGATATACGATAGTTGCTTACAAATAAATGATATAGCTATATTCTTATACCACAAGAAAAAATGGTGGAATATTATTTTATAAATTAATATTTAAATATCGTACATAAAAGTTACAATTAAAGTTTCAGATAACAAACGCAAGAAAAACGAACATATAGAAAATATAAAAATAAATTATCTAGGATTATGTACATGCAGAAAAAAAACTTTCTCTCTAATATAAATATATATATCACGTTTAAGCGTTAAATCCAAGATATTCAATTATTTAAGCAAAATTGTGTAATTTATTATTGACATATGACTCGAATCTAGTGACTTCTTTTTTTATATATTCGAATATATCTAATATTTACAATTCTATTTAGTTATTTGTAGTGAATGACATTGTAATCAAAAGGAATACATTAAGCTTAACTAAACTAGAGTAAGCTAAATTAATCTAGATTAATCTAAAATTGTAATGAATTTTTAGAAAAATATTATTAAAACTTCGGAACACTTCTTAAAAACAATATAAATGTAATTGAATGAATTTGTTACAAAATATGTTTATATATATTATCTGAAAATGTATGTATACATATTGTTTCATTATTTCATTCACTTATGGCAAATCAGTAAAAAGCGCGTTTTGCATTAGTTATATATGTATATATAAATGTATCTAAATACCTTGACTATGAAAAATGTAATAACTACTGTTCATTATTTAAGTCTATAACGAACGTATAATGTAATATCAGATAACATTAATTAATTTCTTCAAACATCGCAATACTTCAAATATGGCTGCCGTACATCGAGAGGCTATCCAAAAACAGATTCAACAAGACTGGGCAAATCGAGAATACATCGAAGTTATAACTGGTAGCATCAAAAAGATAACTGACTTTCTCAATTCCTTTGGTAATTATTTAAAAGGTTATTGAATAATATTCATTCATGTGGAATATTTTACAAAAATATCTTATAGAAAATTATAAACTATTTTATATCGTCATCAAAGAAATCATTTGTTTTGTACTTCTAAACTAAAAACCATTGATTTTATCAAGCAATTGCCTTTGGATACATCCATAAGTAGATTGCTTTCTTACTTACATAGAGTATAGGTACGTGTTTTGACAATTCTGACTTACATGAATCTTTTCATAACCTTATTGCTTCCTCTTTTATCATTTTCTTGAATTACTAAAATCCACAAAGACGCTTTAAATAAAATTAACATTGTATGAAGCTTACTTTATTACTTACAATCAATTAACTTTATTGTGTTAGATATGTCTTGCAGATCAAGAATAGCTGTTCTCAACGAAAAACTTACAACTCTAGAAAGAAGAATCGAATATCTGGAAGCATGTGTAAGTTACCATTTATAATTTGGATCAATTATGATTTGCACGTTATGAAAAATATATGACATGTATTATATTTTCTACAATTATTATTTTCCAGGTCACAAAAGGGGAAACATTAACCTAAATTAATCATAGTTTAGGATTTTTGTATTTATTGAAATTATATATGAATAAATATACAATAAATGTGACTACAATAAACTATATGTTATATTCAGTTTATCATTGCTTTACTTGGAAGGAATTGTAAATATATTATATGATTCACGCTTAACATAGTGTTCTGATGGCTCTTTTTTCCACTCATAAAGGTAAAGACTCCTTGATATCCCTTCATAAAGTAGAGTGTCCTTAAGATTCAATTTATTGTCAGTTACATAAAACTCACGTACCACTGCATAGAAAGGTAAACTAACAAAAAGTAGAACTGCCACAGTATATTCCAAAGGCATGAATCTTCGAAGTACCGGAAAAGTACAATATACTGCAAAAAATATTGTTATTTTAAAATATCTATTATTAATAAGGATTTTTACATTATTTTTATTTCATGTTATAAATTATAAAACAATCATGTAAAATAATTTCATTTAGTAGTAATGTATTATAGAAGAAGACTTCCCTCACCTCCCAATAGATTATTAAATGGACCTTCTCTTCCCCTTATTTGTCTTGTTATATAACTACCAGCAAGATAGTAAAAACTTAAACCACACAAAGGAAATGTAACATGTGCAATTTTTCCAAACGTAGCAGGGGTCTCCAATATACCTTTTGAAGCTTGAAGTATTATTCCACCACCAATGCCCGCTAACAGGGGCAGTTTCATTCTTCGCACAAGCAAAGAAATTGGATTGTCATCCTCTTTACCCCACAGGTCTATTATATCGCTCTTTTGATTCTAAAGTGAAATTATTTTGTTTTACATTCAATTCATGTAATCATCTTAGACAAATTATAGAGACAAATTTTTAGATTTTATTTAATAATACATTTTAAATAATTTTTTTATTTATTTAATAATACATTTTAAATCGAATGATTGATTTGCAAATCACTGCTTTAATATACAAATGTGCACAAATGTTTCCAAGTATTACAAGTAAAGATTCTCTGATAAAAAATTAGAAATAGAAATTATAAATATACCATAATATAATATTAATTGTTGTAGGAAGCAAAATTTGACGTCTATATTTGACACGCTATTGTACTTCAGTGCCGCCTTTGATTGGTTATATGAAACAAGCTATATGCCTTTCTATTTCTCCATTACGTGGCATGAAGAACTTTTATAATAGATTTGCATAGCTACAGCTATGTTATTTAACTAGTTATGTTTAATTCTCTTTAAATTAAATAATAAACTAAAATTAAAACTACGTTTAATTCTGGCAAATTTCTTAATATATCAAAGAGACGGCACTTGAAATGAAAAGAATTTTGTATTTCCTCCGCAAAGCTGTGACACTACCGCATGAATTTGATTGAAATACCTACCCTAATATCGTTACACATGTAAAACTACCTTTACAATATGCGCACTGTTAAGTGGCTCCTTGCAGTGTAAATTTTAACGCGGTAAAAATTAATTGCACAGCTGGGTAGCCGACCAAAAGGAATTTGATAAGAGATTTATTGATTAAATGACAGAATTATTACTGTTTACTTAATAGGATGTGTAACATTTCCTGCTCATTTTTAAATGACCTAAATGACTAAATTGTCCAATTTCAAATTTCACGAACACGAGCAGAATGCTTTTACACTCCACGCATAATAAATCAGCCTGAAATTCCCCAAATTTCTGAATGACCACGTAAAAATACAACGAAAATTAGTTTTTGTAAATGGAACTATTGTCAGTAGACAATATCATAACATCAATATCAAAACACGTTCAAAATACGTTATCATTTGACATATGTATTAGATAAAATCAACTTAAAATAGAAAAGTTCGAAATATTTTTACATGAAATATGTTTACAATTTAATAGTCTCCTTAAAAGCAAATACAACTTATTTTTAGCAACTGTGCACATATAATTGAATATGGCGATGTTACTAACGGTAGTGAACGTTGACGCATTTTAGTTTCAATACGTCGTTATATAAATATAAAGGATTTTTATTTGTCAAAGAGATATAGAAAAATTATTAATATTATTAGAAGAAAATGTTACGTTTAAATTTAAACGACTTGTTAAAACAGGTATAGTGCTAAGTTTTCTCAAAATGTAACCTATTATAAAAAACAAACATTTTAGTTATTTGCGTTCAATCAACAAATCATTAAAAGATACTAATTATTTCAGAAACAGAATTTAATATTATTAAGGTATTTAAGCTCACGAGCAAAGAGTAGTAAATTGAAGATTAAACCAAATGTTGCAGGACTCAGTGAGAAATGTTGTAAAATTCCAAATACACGTAAGACAGATATATTTAATAATATATGTTATTATAATTTATCATTATATATTTTAATAAAATAAAATTATTATAAATTATTATAATTATTATATTTAATAACTATTATAATATAAAGCAACGTGAAAATTTTTCTTTATGCTCTTAAAGTATAAGATTTTTTCCTTCAAATGATCTTTAAATGAAAAACAAAGTAAAAAATTCAACACATTGGATAATTCAGTAAATAAATATCATTTTGCAAAAAGTTTAGTCACCCAAAGATATAAATGAAATTAGTAGATTAGTGTCTCAGTAAATGCAAATATATAATTGCTCCTTAAATATTTATAAATTCATATAGGTGTAAAAGTATTTTTAAGATGATTAATAATTTTTATAGGTTTTACATTAAGAATTAGTTATATTTTCAGTATTTTTGTTCATATTATATCGTTTTTTAAATTTTACTTTTCAGCTGTTGGACCTCGTGCTGCTAAAGATAAAGAATATAAAAATCCAGAGTATTTTTGTTATCATATAGACACTTTCGGAGAAGCAGAAGTGGAATTAGCAAAATATAGATTACCAGCTCCTTCTAATAGAATACCTTTCAATAAATAATTTTTATGATCACGTTTGTCTTCATAGAAAATTTTGTAGCAACCAACATAGTGTAGTAAATAAATAATATTTAAAAAGGAATATTGCAAAATTTCGAATTTTTTTATGGAAACAAGTAGATAAAATTAAACAAAGAATAATTATACAATCATCTTACACGAGAACCTATAGGATGCTTTAAAAACAGTACATACACACACACACACACACACACATGTATATATATAGTATTGTAATAACATAAAGTAAAATATATTTATAAAAGATTATATTTCATTTATTTTGACTGTTTAAACCACTTTAAGCAATTATATGCACTATCTTTATGAAAAAAAAATTAGTTTACATTAAAAAAAATATATATAACTATACTTAAAGTAAAAAATAATAAATGACAATAAAGTAATCTTGTTAATTACATAAATCTGTCTGAAATTTCCAATTTTCTCAAATTAAGAGTAGAAGTTTAACATAACGGAAAGACATTTGTGATATATGTATCATAATTATACGTGAAAAAATTAAATTAAAAATATGAGATAACATTCCTCCATACAAAGTTTTATTTCAAAATAAATAAAATAAACAATAAAATAAATTATATACATGTGCAATTACAAGTTGTATGAACTTCAAGTCATGTACACCTCAGTTTAAAACATGTTGTTATAAATTATTTATAATTTGATAATTATTATTATTTAAAATTAGTAAATTTTTCATATAGAGAGAGATTTATATCTTATATAACTTAATCTTTTTTCTGGTGCGAAACATGCATTATTCAATAATACCTTTGAAGGTTAAATAAAGAAATTGTTTAAAGGTTAAATATAGGAGATACGATTTCAAATATCCTTTTCTATTACAGATCTTTTAATATTATAGAAAAATAAAATTTTTATAAAGGCAATATTAAAATAGATATGTATTATAATACGTTGCCATCTTTAAACATACTATATGATTATTGTAATTTAAATTCAAAGAAACAAGTATGTATAAATACATAATGATTTTTATTACATTGCACAATACATATTATTATATTTTACATATATCTTCAGCTATGTAGAAATATATTTTATTTACGTCGAACGTACGATCCATAATTTTAATCTTCCTCTGATGCCTTTTTGAAATAAGAATTCGTTAAATTGCCTTTATGTACAATATATTATTTTTACCATTATATATTCTTACCGTACATAGTCTAGGTTTATATGTACAAACATATATATATGAGAAACAAAATTTTATACACTCAAGTGCTGTAATTATCCTTCAATGTTTTGTAAGTCGAGGTTACGGTAAAGACATATTACATACAGATATAGTAAACATGTTTTCTATTATACCGAAACATACCACTCTGTCATTGTTTAAGCGTAATATTTCACAAAATTTTGTTAACGTAATAAATATAAGAAACAATCCTTTATGGTGGATATATAAAGAATCAAACATACGATACTTTTATTATAATACAAATATATCCTCTTTGGAATACTTTAGGTAAGCAGAATTTTTTGCTTATTAATTTTATTTTACCATAATAATATTATAAGTATAATATAATGATAATTATCATACGTGCTTTTAGTATGTATTTTGGAAACACAGATTTTAATATATTTGAATACATTATATATTTAATATTATATTTTTAATAATATATTTGAATTAAAGAATTCTTTAAATATCTAGTAAGGATAAATATTCATGTTAAAATATAAAAACAGAAATATAAATTTAAGTGAGGTTAAATAATTTTTATCAATTTCAGAATTATCTTAATTGCTTTAATATTTTAAACAGTTTGCAAAATACTAATTTATTACTTTGTGATAAAATATATCTGTTAAACATAAGTTCTTTGGTATGATATGGTAGCAATCTTGTATAAGTGACTGAAACAATATTCTCCCAATAGTAGTTATCTTAATTAGCTGCATTTACCACTTTATTATATCTATAGAAAGAATTTCTGATTTATGCAAATATAACTGGAAATAAGAGAAATCTTACGATTAAAATGATAGAGAAAATAATTAAATCATGTAAAAAAGTGGATTTTGTTGAATTTATTATGCTATTATGCTTATTATGTGCTATTGTATGATATTTAAAGAATACAAATCTGTTATGTGTATTATTTTATCACTTAAATGATCGAATAAAGTCTGCGATAAGACAATATTTAAATAAGATGTAATTTGATAAGAAATATGTACATCCTATAAGTTACTTTTTGAATCCAGAAAATAAGACATACATATAAAAATGAGATATGTCATTATATTTTAAAAAGTAAATTCATTGGATGATTTATTATAATACAGAATATTTCTAATATAAGAATGTGCAATTATATATTTTTTACATTATAATATATTAAATTTATTTCAAGGTTTACTTACTAAATATTTCTGTATTAATATGTGAAATATCATTTTTTATCTTTTCAAATTATCTTTTATCTTTTAACGTTTCAAATTAATTTTAATATGTAAATACAAATTAAATATGTAAATTATTATACCATAACAAATATTGAAACTGGTTATAAATGATAAATTCTGTACTATACTTATACAGTACTATTTAATTATATTTCAGTATTAATAATCATATTGATGAAATTCTCTTTGGTCTCATTAGGGTTACATTTTATTATTGTTTGAGTTCCACGATGTGTTATTGCTTTTAGAATCACTGTAATGGATTTACTTATTTCAGAACCCATTTCCTCTTCGTCATTCTGAGATTTTATATTTTATGATTTTGTAGTCTTAAGATATATTTATAAATTTATTAAAATAAATAGAAAAGTTTCAATCGAAAGTAATAAAATGTTTATAATGTTTAAATGTTTGTATTAGGTTGAATTTTAATGTTATTTTTTTTTTTGGAAATTATAATGTAATAAATACAAATATAACTATACCTCTAGAAGATCACTTCCTATTTCTTCTGGTTCAATATTTTCTTCAAGAAATGACATATCGTAGACCGTAAGTGTATTATTAGATAAGTAGAACTAATTCATATGAAAATCATGTTTTTATTTACATAACAATTGACTGACTCAAGATGCCATTTCAGGGTTTACTATGAAGTAACTCATATAAAAATCATGTTTCTATTAATATAAATGCTAATGGTTTCAAAGAGATACCTCATACTATATTGGATAGTCTCTCAAAGTAGATATAAATTTATAATGATTTATTGAAAATTATGTATTGAAAAATTCAGTAAAGTTCAGTATATAAAGATAGTATTACTAACTTGAAGCTTTATCTTAAATTTAATTTTCGCTCTATTAAATAAGTTACTGCAATGAGAAAAAATGGAATCTCTTTCTCGTTTCTTATTATAATTCTAATTATTTATATATATGTGTCCTGTATAACATATACAGGGTGCTCAACAACATATAATAGAAAATTCAAAAACATGATAGAAAATTTGAAGGGTGCTTTTACAAGTTAAAATAAGACAAAAATTAATAATAAAATAATTTTTGTGGTTTAATTTATTAGCTACTAACATGTAAATATCGACTAAAGTATTCCTAAAATTTGGTAGATTTCTCTTGATAAATTCTACATAAATGAATGTAGAGCAGTTCAGGCTATGATAGTTATAGTGATTTCAAGTCGCAAAGAAGATTATGACATTCGCTGTGAAGAATTTGCGAAGTTTCGTAAGAAAAATCATAGTTTAATCATTACATCTATTTTCTTATAGAAATTCATAGAAGAATTCATAGAAAAAATATCTGATGAAGTTTCTGAGTGGAGATAATTAATATCTTCTACAGCTTATGAACATACGCGCATAATTTAAAGAAATGAAGTGATAAACATATTATACATGTATATGTATATTATACACACAGAAGGCGTGTAAAATGAAAAGTATAAAAACAAGAATTTCATAGGTACAGACTTTGACTTTCATGGACTTCTTTGAAATACGAATTGAAAGTATAATCATAACAATCATAATCAATTCTTACGTTGATGTTCAAAGTTCTTTCATTACGTAAAATATCGTATTTTTTTTTCGTAATCTATATGTAAGTGTATACATCAGACACGCTACAAGTGCGACCATGGATCAACCTCGAGGTGTATCGTGAGTTATTCCAAAATAGATAGTGTACATCATTTAAAGTGCAATAAAACGGCAACAAAATATTGTTGTTAACCTTTTAGTTAGTATGTTGTAAGGGGGTGACTTCTCTTTACAAAATCATTCTAAACAGGAACTGGAAAAAAGACTATTTAACTCTATAGAGACATTTGAGTTTGTAAAATTTGAAGAAATAAGAAGCAACTTCAGTTTTCCACTCCGTTTTATAGCATAAAAGAGTTCTTGAAAAAAATTCAGTTCAAGGATATGAAAGTAGAGATTTCACCCTTTAAAATGAGCTCAGGAATACTGTTGTATGATGCTTTTTTCACAAGTTTGCAGCAGTCCAAAGATCGACCATTTTTTGGTCAAAATTTAGCGATCTTTTAATTTTGTGGAGTAGCATTTTATGTTTGTTATACAAAATACTGAAATTTTACTAGAGCTGTTATGAAACTCGGTTATTATTACCTATATTATTACCTATTAAAATTTGAGACCAAAATATTTCTGAAAATTATATATAAAAATTAGAATTGGAGATATATATTTTGCAAAGATCACGAATCTATTTAGTCATTCATATTAATAAATCTGAATTTTTAGAAGACCATCTTTAATACTTATTATATATTTAAGATGGCTATTCATGCTGTTTACTAATTTTTTACTAGATACATATGTCTTCTACACATATTTTCAGGTTGATTAATAGAATTATGACTGTCATATTTAATTGATACGTTAATGAAATAAAAAAATGTTCATATAACGCATATATAAAAGGTTTCTGTGGTAATACGTATAAATACTTTTGTAAGACATTGTACATATGTCGCTTTGAGTTTGAGACTCACTGCACTTCTTATCGCTTCGGCTGCTCTATATTCGTTCGTGTAGGGAGGTTTGCAAATCTTCAGGGATGCTTTAATAGGATCTTTAGATGTTAGATAAATAAATAAACGAATAAAGCCTCAAACGAATGTTCTTTATTCTATATTTTCGTCTTATTTTAACTTGTAGAAGCATCCTTTAAATTCTTTACCATCTCCGAACTGTATAACATAATCGTTGGCTATCAATCAAATGATGCAACACCTGCAATTCGATACGACCACCAGAAAACGAATCGCGTTGTATAAAACTGTCGGCTTTCAAACTGACAATATGTATATATAATATGTATGAACATGTCCATTTGTAACAAGGTTTTTGTAATTATAATAAGATTGCATAAGTAAAATACGTGTTGCATGACAAAGCAGTTGGATGGATGGATGGATGTAGTCGTTGTGTGTACGCGTGTGTGTGTGCGTATATATATATATATATATATATATATATATCGAATGCAATGAAACTCAACCGCATATTTTGCATTAGTTTCACAGTAGTTTACAGAAGCTTACTTCTCGTGACAAAATGAACTCAAAGTATCTATCGTCTGTGTTCCTTTGCGCAACTTACTTACAAGTTGCAAGTTACCAGTATTTTAATAAATATCCTTGCACATCATATTAATTAGTTTGACAATACACAAAGCTTACAAGTAAATTTTAAAAATGATAAGTTCATGATTTTCGTCTTTGATCGATATGTTATACTTTATATGATTACCTCATCCGATAAAAATTGTAAAAGAGAAGACTCTAACTGATAACTTGTTGTTTGACTTCAGTTCATCATATTATAATATTATATTTCATATATATAATAAATTATATTATTAATTCATTGTATTATATTACAATATTATTAACTAGTAAATTATTGTACAGAATTCTGATGTTCTAGTTCACCGGGAGTACCGATTAGACGTAACGAAAGAACAATTTCGATATTTTTTTCTTGATAACAAGTATCAAGTGTTGGTGGATTTTTTAGAAGTTCTAAATTACTTTTCAATTTGTTAAATGTTTACTCAAAACTTAACAAGAAAACAAAGACATTAGTGCCCTCTAATCAGTGAAATACAAGTTACATTATTATTAAATTCTATACCATGTGAGATATTAATGTGCCAGTTACACTAATATATTTAAATAATGTATCTAATTAGGGAAGAATAGTACTTCTGCCATTTAAGTTTTTAACAATTTAACAGAAGATATTCTTAGATCTGCAATAAAAGTTTTACTTCCGCTGATTACTATATTGTTAATATTTATTTCGAAATCATATTATAATAATTTATTTGTAATATATTTCTCTGATTAATTCTTACGCATTTCTAAATCATGAATGATCTCTAAAATTGTAAATTTTTAAAATAAAATAGAAACTAAAAGATCGTTGTATCCTTTTAAATAAATTCAGTTGTCACTATGATTCCTAACATAGAAAAATGTCATTAAAATTTGTCTTCTTTTAGATTCAACAATGCCGATGCACGAACATATTCAGTGGTTCCGAATACATCATTTATATCGATTAAGGATGAAAGTCGTGAATTAATGGCTGTATGGCCCGATATCGTACGTGATCTCACGGATGCTGGTCGTCATCTTGACATACCAGATGTTACCAAATGGCTAATGAAGGTATTCTTTTTCTTCTTTTCTCTTTCTTAAATTTTCACATTAACGAACGATACATTATACTTATAGTTCTTCGTATACAGGGTGTCTCAATTCAATATTCTGAATTTATATAATTATATTTGTTCTCAAACGTATTACATTTAAAATGATATATTATTGACAAAGTTGTTTCCTCTTCTTTAATTTTTAGGTATTGCAATACAATGTTCCATGTGGAGGGAAGAATAGAGCGTTAACGGTTGTAGAAGCATACAGATCATTAAGTCCTCCCGATCAAATAACGGAAGAAAATCTTCGTTTAACTCGTATACTAGGCTGGTGCACAGAATTGGTTTGTAATTTTTCTTCTATCATTTCCAGTTTATGTTATTTTAGGATTTACAATAGTACATAGCATATTCACTTTATTAATTTCTTTTTAGTCCGGTGACTTAAAGAATTATTTATATAATATGATTATATATTTGTATTATAGTTGCAAGCGTTCTTGCTGATGGTAGATGATATTCAAGATCACTCAGAAATGCGACGAAATCAACCGTGCTGGTATCTATACAATGACATTGGATTAACGGCTATTAACGACGCTTTAATGCTGGAAATGTGTATATATCAGCTCCTTAAGAAACATTTTAAGACAAAAGAATGTTATGTGAATCTCTTAGAACAATTTCTATCCGTAAGTAATTATTTTTCGTACTCAATAATATACAAAATATTCCGATTTGGTACCGATTAGCTCTAGGTGGGAATATTTTTATGGTTGTCTAAATTGTCTTAATAGTTATGGCGACCATTATGCTAAACACCCACTACAGATTTGATAGATAGATTTTGTTGTTTTGTACTTTTGCAGAAATCAATAAAATTGTTTGATAACATATAATATTTTTACTATTTTATTTATAAAAAATATTGTTTGCTAAATTAAGAAAGTAGCAACTTTTATACTATGTTATATTATTTACAGGTTTCTTTAAAAACGGAAATGGGTCAATGTCTAGATTTATTATCAACAAATTTTGGAAAGAAACCGAATCTAGATCTATTTACAATGGATAGATATAATTCTATTGTAAAATATAAAACAGGTTACTATACGTTTGTGTTACCAGCCACTGCTGCTATGAGTTTCGTAAGTTTAATTCTATTAATTCTTACAACTACATTATTTGTCTAAAGAAAGTTTAGATCTTATCTTCATTTTTCAATTATGTCTAAAGTTACATATTATTTATAGGCTGGTATAACAGATCCCGAAATGTATAGGCAAGCAAAAACGATTTTGTTAGAAATGGGACATCTTTTTCAAGTAAAAGATGATTATTTAGATTGTTATGGTAGTATAGAAGACATTGGAAAAACTGGTACAGATATAGCAGAGGGAAAATGTTCATGGCTTATTGTTGTAGCTTTACAACGTGCTACACCAGAGCAAAAGAAAATTTTTGAGGTATACATGTCACTAATAATATTTTGTATTCGTTATCTCTTTTTAAGTAAAGATACGAATAACATACAAATACTTTACAGGAGTGCTATGGACAATCTGATGTAGAAAAAGTAAATCGTGTAAAACAACTCTATCAGGAGCTTGGTATATCAAATACTTATGCTATTTACGAAGAAGAAACATATAACTTACTACATACACATATACAACAAATATCTCGTGGACTTCCACATGATCTCTTCTTAAAGTTACTTAACAGAACATGTCGTAAAATAGGTCGAAAGGACTAATTGTAGAATTAAAAACGACAGATATTAATTATTATTATAATTTAAGGAAATACATATGTGTTTGTATTTTCTTCTCTCTGCGACAGAGATTAAATAAGGACCAGTAACACTTTACCTTTAATGATTAAATTCTGTCGTAACAAGATAAGATCATAAACAGAGACAATAATTTCTTACTACAAATACATTGTTGCTGAAGTGCACAATGTTAATGAAAATGCAAATGATAGAGAAATGTTAATTCACAGTTAAAAAGGTGTAATATTTTATATTTTATATGGTATAGGAGATATATTTCATACAATGTTTTATATGATACATTTTCTTGACAAGTTGCATCTTTTTTATTTGAAAACAACTGTATAAAGTTAACATCTTCGTTTATATGTTTAAAAGATTAATAAATGAGATTTTAAGATGATTTTTTAACTTTTTTTTTGTATCCCCAAGGTTGCTTCTTTTTCATATTTTTTCGAATTTTCGAACGAACAATTTGTTTTACTTCTTGTCTAAGCTCTTTAAACGTATCTTCTGACACGTGTTCTTTCGAAAAAAAATTTTCTGCCTCTAAAATATATTAAACATGAATATATAAAAAATAATTATTACTTCTAATTTTTCTATTTAAATAGAAATATAAATATTTATATTTTATATAAAATGCGTACCACTAAAACGAACATCATTACTATCAAAGAAAAACTTATTTGTGTCTACTATCACATTATTTGTATGTTCTTTTTTATTTGTATATTCTTCCTTACTGTTACGTTCTTCATCAGAAGAATCGTATTTAAATGGATTCTTTGACTCAAAACCTAAATGAATCTTTGGAGGCTTCAATGGTTCTGTATTTAAAATATTACTACTATCATCTAAAATTATGAACAAAAATAAATGTAATAAATATCATAAAATAAATTTTTTAATTAATGTATTATGTAAATATTAACTTTTTTCATCAGTTGTTTCTTTCCCAAATGTTTTTAATAAACTGAATGGCTCTCCTTCTTTCAAGCTTTTTGATAGTGAGTCTGACACAGAAAAGTATATATCTTTCGACACTTCCACAGGTGCATTTTCAATCAGGTTATCTGTATTATTCTTATTTTTCTTCTTCTTAACTTTTTTGGTTTCTGTTTCAGATTTTTCTATATTAATTTCATATTCTTTATGACCATTTTCCGTAGGATCATATCTAATCATTCCTTTCCTAAAGAATTAAATAATGTAATATAGAAATACATAATTATGTAAGTAATTATTATTATAATTCTAATATTATGATTAACATAAGTAACTATTTTATTCATACTTTGGAAATTTTACATCCTTATTTGTATCTTTATTCTTTGAACTAATTGGTACTCCTAGAATATTTTCTAAAATATCTAATTGTAATTCCTTTTCTTTTTGTAAATCAATTTTATCATCACCTTCTGTGTCTTCAGTAATATCTTTATCCAATTCTTTATCATTCTCTATGAAACGTTTGTCAAGTTTAAACCGTTCATCATTTCCCAAAATAATATTACTTCTAAGAAACTAGAATTAATCAATTAATATCAATGGCTTAAATATTTATAAAATTTATTTATATATGAATATATATAAATATCTTACCTCCCCTGTGAAATGTTTGTTAATTTCAAATTTACTATCATCCCAAACCGACTCATCATCATTTCTATCATAGTCATCATCATCAAACAAATCAAGTCTTCTTTTCTTTCCTTTTTCTTCGATTTTATTGATTTCTTCTATTTTATTGATATAATCATTATCATCAAATATTATTTTATTTTTATTTGAATTATTATCCTATAAAAATAAATACGATATATGGAAAATATGACACAAAAGCTTAAAATGTTGGACAAAATTAATTTAAACATGTTTACCAAATTCTTCAGTGCATTCTGCACTGCCAATTCTTTAGCTCTGAAAATTTGCTTCTTATGTTTTAATGATTCTACTCGTTTCTTTTCTGATACACTAATTTTATCCATCTTTATTTCTTCGTTAACTTCGCGTTTTAAAATAACCATTCTTTTCCTTAGATATATTAAGATAAATTAGTTGCGACATGTGATAGTATTTATTAAACTTAAAGAAACTTAACCTATTAAATTTATGTGTGACAATGTATACAACAGACACATAAAAGAAATGCTATATATTTGATAATATTTTAATTCTATTTATTTATATACAAATACAGCAAAATCACGATTAAGTAAGTTTATAATTAAATCAATTTTATAAATTTTTTATTACATCAATGTTCAGTATATGTGCAATCTTATTTCGTATACGTAAACACGGATATTAGGGGTTAGGTTTCACTAGCCGACATCTGAAAATTGCAAATCTATTTTTATTTAACACCTTCATAACTAAAACATTTTCGAAAATTTATAGAAATATTATTTTACTATTTAAAATTAATTTTACGATTTATGATATTGAAATTTCTAAAAATATCAATTGTTTAATAATAGAATATAACTGTGCAATTACCAATTATTATTGTAGATGAAATAAAGAATCCTATACTTCTATATAACTTCTGTTCATCTGTATGAACTGAATATAATGCAGATGTTCTTAAAATTTTTTTTACGTATTTACTTAAGCCTTTTTAAAAAATTATATATTAAATGGTAATTAATAGCGAGATATAATATTACGTATATATGTAGGATATATATTTTATGAATAGATAGTACGAACTTGTACAATACGTCTAATCCTTAGCCTCGCATTCGTATATGATAGAATCATATTAAAATCAGGTATAGTATGAACTTGTTCAACACTTTGATCAATGAATTTTAATGAATTCCTGCCCTTTTATTGCCTAATAATTTGTTATTCATCTATTCTCGGCAAAAGAAGTAATAACTAAGTGCGAATTAAGTACATGCTTATGATTCAAACAAAGGTTTGAACGATCGCGTATTTACGCTCATTTTCGATCGTCAACGTTAGGCCATTTTCGGACGATTCCGCCGATGCGAACTGTTGCGCGCCTGCACAGAAATAAATATAAGGACACGTCAATTTAAAGAGTGTGACGGATACGAAATGTCAAGAGTAACAATATTCACTCCGTAAAATTATTAATTAATAATGAAGGATAAATGGCATTAGGGCTCACGCTGGATCTCGCACGTAGTCATCTCCGCGTTTATACCAATCAATTAGTCTTTGGGAAACGATGCCAAGCTAAGAACTACGTAACCTGCAAATCAGTTCAATCTAGATCATGTAAAATTCGCATAGTAATTTTAGATGATCTGTTTTCGCACGTTCGCGGGGAGACGTGATATCGAGGAAGCGCGCCAACGGGAGTCGTAAAGTCCCGTTACGATTTATTAATCGACGCCGCGAATCGTTCGATCCCTTATTTCTTTTGGGATAATAAGGATAGTTAAATTGAAGATAACGCTGCTACTAACAGGTTATTATATATTTTCACAATCCAACAACTTCGGTGTAATACAAAATGAATGTTTGTTATAGAATGATTACGAGTGAATGCGAGTGAGTGCGAGTCTCTAGTCGTATTATCGCGTATGATAATGGATTTTGTCGACTCACTGTATTCGACTTGTTGACTGTTTGATGAGATGCTTGATCGAGACTGACTTGGATAGTTGATGTGAGTTAGACTTAGAAGAAGTAGAAGAAGTAGCTGACTTAACCCTCCTGATGTCGTAGGAGAAGTAGTTGACTTGACTCTCCTGATGTCGCAGAAGAAGTAGTTGACTTGACTCTCCTGATGTCGTAGGAGAAGTAGTTACAGTGACGATGCTGTGTCGTAGGAAAGCTAGTGATGTGTGTGTCTAGCGCACGGGACCATCGGATTTGTTCATGACATTTTTGGTCAGGAAAGTGAGGACAGTATACATTGCTTCTGATTGGATAAACGAAGGTTGGTGGACTAGGAAGGGTCTTAGCCGCCCTCGATTACTAGTAGGAAGCATCGTACGTGAGAAAAACTAACTTTCCCTTGTCAAGCCGTAGTAGACAATAGTCTTTAGAAATGATTCGCAAAGTTGGGTCTGAAGGACCTTAGCTAGCAAATTAGTGGGATGTATGACGGGTCCTTAAGGATATTGAGGGTACGCCGTAAGGATGAGCGGACATCTGGTGTCCGTCTGGCCCGCGGTGTGTGGCCTGATCTAGGTAACGGGTCGCCCGACGTAACAGATCTCCACTGAATTATAATTTATTAGTGAATTAAATATCTCGAACATCCCAGTACAATATACGAAAAGATCACTAGTAGTTTGGCGGGAATTTTGAATTTAATCGCAAAATATTTTTATACTTAATATTTTTCTTAATACTTATACTTAAAATACTTAATATTTTTAAACCACAGTTAACTGTGATAATTGAGGCAACGATAAATCTATTAGTTTAAATCAATGTGGGAATTTCATTATAACTGAATTGTTAATCAACGAAGCAATTATCAAAACATAAAACACACTACACACTTAAGGTCTATATTTTATTACGCTGATTTTCCATGTAATATATTATCTGCGAATCTGTTGTGCGATTTACTGTGTTGTCTCGCCGGTACAGTTTCGTGACATTGTATTCTTTAATCTCCTTTCAAGACGTACATACATATCTCAAATGTAATGATCGATACAATAGTAAATTAAAACTATTGTCCCATAATTAAAATCTTACCTATCATGGTCTTCCGAGTATTTTCATTCTCGATAAATTTTATTTTCATTCTTGACAAACGCAAACAGGTTTTCGATTCGTTCTTGCATACTCTTCGTGGTTATATCATTATCGTCACACTTTACACGCTTCATCGATATTATATTGTATTGTATTTGTATAATTGATTAGGTACGTAGCTGAATTTAAATATTCTTTTTCTTTCATAGATCTTCAAGCGATAAAAAGATAAAATAATAGCAATAATATAGTTATGCAATATAATTTGGACGAGCGACCTATTTCAACTTTGCTGTATCATTATCATTGTTATTACTACCAATATCATATCAGTAAGTTCAACAACAGAAAATGTTTCAGTATTAAGCAAGTTGATGATATTATCGAATTTTAAAACTGAAAGTTATATCAAATATGCGATATATATACATTAAAAGATGTTGGCACATCTTTAGCTAATTTCGCTTGATGTTCGTTTCATGTTAAAATTGTCGCGTTTGCAA